TGAAAGCCAGTGATAATGGATATAAAAACATATAACCATTTTACTAGGAATACAGTTTCAGTCGAGAAGATTAGCAAATGACATAGTACTCATTTTAAATTATTAATATTTATTATTACTACTTTCAGGTAAAGAAGCTAAAAAATCTGATGATACTTAGATAAAGACATTTCACTTTTTTTGGTTTGCCAATGCCAATTTATGTAATTTATCAACACTACCTACAGTTTGCAACCAATCTAACAATGCATACTTTACATTTCATTTTTTTCCTGGAAATTCCATTTGGAGGAAGTGAAGAATGTGTATGCAAATGTTCATTCTTGATTAAAATTGGTGATGTCAAACTACATTTTACTGAGGTTACACGATCCATCCACCAGAAAGAGAAAGAAGGGATCTATCCTTTGCTGCATAGGTACTGCGTGCTTCTTCTGTTCTGTTATTTGTCTTATTTAATCCACCTTAATATCTTACACAATTTCTTGTTCCTTTGTTTAGAAACTAACCACAGAAGCTAATAGTCTGATCCTAAAAAAAAAAACTCTGTGACTTAAATGTCACTTTATTTTTATAGCCATGTGTGAGGAATGTCCAAACTAGGAATCAGGAATGGTTGACTTAGGATCATTCAATTTAGATGTAGGTAAGATTTTTTGAAAGTAGAAACTGCAGTTTAACCTTTGGGAGACTTGGAAATCACATGGGTAGGGCTTTTTGCTCAAAGTTTTGGTTAAATTTTAAAGTTTTGGAAAACATCATACACATCAGAGTAATTGAACAATATTCTTGCAGAAGTCTGGGAAATGCCTCTTATTTAGGACTGCCTGTGGATCTAAGACATTTTTGCCATGCTCATTTAGGAATGGCATAATTTTATGATTAACAATAACTCAAGAAAGCTAATCAATTAGGTATGATCACTTCTAAAAAATAACACAAGAACATTTATTTGAGAAGTTCCAGACATTTTGATCTTATGGAAGAGACTGAAAGAAACATTAGAGTAATAACAAGAATAAAATATTAACATGATAGTTGAATACATATGAATTCTAGAAGGACACATAAGAATTTCTTCAAATATATCAC